GTTGGCTGGCTTGGGGAGTGGCCAGTGGCCAGTGTGGGACCCCTCAGTGGTGCAGGATGTCCCCACGCAGGGCGCCGAAGGCCCATCCCAGGCCAGGGAGCATCTCGCAGCGTCAGGGTCGCAAGGGAGCGGCCCTGCCACCAGAGCGACTGCCTTTCTGCCTGGCTCCCAGTGGGGGCGGGCTGTCTCCGCATATACTTCATAAAGGTGACTTACACGTCAGCGTGAATCCACAGGTTTTCCACCTTCAGAAGCTTCTAGGCACAGAGGCTGCAGCCTGGGAGACCAGGGGACCCTGCTCCTGTGCCCAGCAGGGGTCCGTCCACACTCCCTCCACACTCCTCAGGGCGCAGGACGGCACTGGTGGAGAGACGGAGCTTTTCCTGTCCGAGTCCGTGGTCTGTGACCCCCCGAAGAGCAGCTCTGCTCCCAGGCCACCTTTGAGGCAGGGCCGAGGAGACCCCCCCACAAGCAGAGCTTCTTTTGTAGGGTCCCAGAAACTCTCAGTATGGACGCTCTTTCAGTGAGGCCCCAGCTTGCAGGGCACTGTCCACACCAACCCACCGTCCCCCTTGACTTACTCTCCCTCGGCCGGGGGTCCCCATTTCTGTCCAGTGCACTTGACTCTGAAGAGGAGCCTTTAAGAGAACAGACTCAGTTTCCCGGTAGGTCAGTGTCTCCTCACAAACGAGACGTTCGGCATGGTGGCGGTCATGGTCTCACCGAATGAGAGATGGACCTGGTGCTCCACCGCCCGCCAGCCTGGCCTTTAATCGAGACAGCCACATGCAGGGGTCACTGGGAGGCAGAGCTCTGCCCTCCGGGGGCATCACAGCTGGCACCAGGCCGGGATCCGGAGGTCAGCCAGGGCGTCCTGGGACAAAGGTCCCCTGGGAAACATCCCACAGTTCAAACGCCGACAGAACAGATGTCAGACACGAGGTCCCAGCAGGGTCTTGTTGACAGCGGTCAGTGACGTGAGCCCTGGATCCGGGGGCTCAGGGCCCCTGCCTCCCAGCACCGTGCTCACCTCTTCGGAAACAGGGTGAAGGGGACACCCTCGCCTGTGCCCCGGGCCCCACCACGTCAGCGTGAGACGCCACAGGCCGCTTCCTGTGTGCGTGGGCGTCTGGAGTCCCTGGGCTCAGGTGCTAGACCTGGAACTCAAACATGTCCGTCTGTTTCTTGGCCAGCTTGGCCACCTCCTCCCGGATGGCCTTCACGAGAGCTGCGGTGGAGATGTTGGTCAGGGGAGCGTCGGATGGGTCGTTTTCGGCCAGGCTCTGCTGCGAGGCTGCTGCGGAGGGCCCTGGGGCCTGCTCCAGGCTGGGGTGCAGGCCGGTCGGCTGGCTGTACTGGCGAGCGAGCCTGGAGGGCGAGCCCTGCTGGTAGCGCGCACGGGGGTAGGCCTCGATGTATCCCGGGAGCGGGACCTGCGGAGGGTGTCAGGGGAGACAAGGGCCCGGGGTTAGGGAGCAGCGAGACTCACAGGACACGCTGGCGTCGAAGCAGGGGGAGTGTGGAGCAAACAAGGGCTCAGGGGGACATGGAAGCCACAAACCACATGGACGCACACCCGGTCAGTGTGCCCAGAAAACAGGACTCCTGGACTCACTGAGCATGCTGGCTGCGTGGATGTGTTCACCTTGCTGAAAACACCAGGGACATTCTGAACCCGCGTCTGAGCCACCGGCCACCGGCACGTGAGCCCGACCCAGCCAGCAGCCTCACGGCACCCGCGGCCCTCCGGGAGCTCAGGGTTATCCGTCGTGAGGACAGTGAACGCGGACCGCACTCCTGCTACGGCTTCCCACACACTTCCTCATTCGGTCTCGAAGCAGCACCTGGGAGGGTGTGCCCAGCCTTACCTTACAGGCGAGGGACCGAGGCGAAGACGCCCTGACCTAAGGTGACGCGCAGTGCCAGGTCTGGCTGGCTCCAAGGAGTTCAGCGCTGCGCCACCCTGTCATGGGTCTGGGCATGCCCCTGGCTGCTTCTGTTTTGTTCTTATTTTTTAACTTATGGTTAACCACTATGTAGCTTCGCCGTGCACAGCGTGGCTTTGCGCAGCACGAGACAGCGCATGTCAGCGACAGCCGTGACCACACCCAGCATCGCCGCCTCGGGTCATTTCCGGGTCAGTTCCTGACCCTGGTTTCTTAACACTTTCTTTCCTCAGGCTGGCCCCGTGCCCTAGTGGGCCCCCACATGGCCAGCTGTGGTTTGAATCACAGCCCCGGGCGCTTGAAAAACACGTGGGGCAATATGCATGCATACCCCAAAATCAGACGGGATGGAGAAGGGAGGGCAACCTGGCCTCACTGCATGGGGCAGCTTTCTGCCTTTCTCTGCCTCTCTCCAGAGAGCATGCAACCTCTGGCAATTAAAAAAATAAATCAAGTCAAAAGGTTAATTAATTTTTTTTCTCTTTTCATTAAAACTAGGAGATCCATAGTTCTATTTTTAAATACGTGGAAACTTCCAGGAATGAGGATAAGTCCATAAAGAGGGAGTCAGGATAGACTCCCACAGAAACAGTGCCGCCTACAGGATGCCGCACAGGGCCTCCACCACAGACCCTCCTCTCCCACCCTGTCAGCTGGGGCACGGCGCAGCAGTACCTGTGGACGCCGTGGTGCCGGCGGTGTTGGCCGTGGGCGTGTGCACCGAGCTGGGCAGTGTCCCGGGACAGGCAGCCCAAGAGAGTCTGGGGGACCAGCTGGCTACTCCCCGCACAGAGGGAGGGCCGGGGCGCCCAGAGGGCAGCGCCCCAGGAGCTCAATGCTCCTTGGCCAGAGAGGCTGTGCCCGGTGGAGGCAGCTCAGGGAGGCAGCTCCGCAGGCCAGGGCCACTCTGTGGCCCCAGGGCACTTCCAGTGCATGAGCATCCCCGTTTCTCCGAAGAACACAGCCTGCACCCATGCACATCCTGCTGTCTGGACCCCGGGGGAGGATGGAGCTGGGCAGGCTGTATTCAGGCAGTGTGTGCTCTCACTGTGTGCGCTCTCACTGTGTGTGCTCTCACTGCGTGCGCTCTCACTATGTGTGCTCTCACTGTGTGTGTGCTCTCACTGTGTGTGCTCTTACTGTGTGTGTGCTCTTACTGTGTGTGTGCTCTCACTGTGTGTGCGGTCTCACTGTGTACGTGCTCTCACTGTGTGTGCTCTCACTGCGTGCGCTCTCACTATGTGTGCTCTCACTGTGCGCTCTCACTGTGTGTGCTCTTACTGTGTGCGCTCGCACGGTGTGCACTCTCACTGTGTGTGCTCTCACTGTGCGCTCTCACCGCGTGCGCTCTCACTGCGTGTGCTCTCACTGTGTGCGCTCTCACTGTGTGTGTGCTCTCACTATGTGTGTGTTCTCACTGTGTGTGTTCTCACTGTGTGTGCGCTCTCACTGTGTGTGCTCTCAGTGTGTGTGTGCTCTCACTGTGTGTGCGCTCTCACTGTGTGTGCTGTCACTGTGTGTGTGCTCTCACTGTGTGTGCTCTCACTGTGTGTGCGCTCTCACTGTGTGTGCTGTCACTGTGTGTGTGCTCTCACTGCGTGTGCTGTGTGTGCTCTCACTGTGTGTGTGCTCTCACCGTGTGTGTGCTCTCAGTGTGTGTGCTCACACTGTGTGTGTGCTTGCACACCTGCATATCAGGAGGGTCTCACTGCATGTGTGTGCTCACACACTGTGTGCACGCTTGCCCAAATGTGTCTCAGGCAGGGTCTCACTGTGTTTACTTGCACACATGTGTCTCAGGAAGGGTGTCATTGTGTGTGCTCACACATGTGCATCTCAGGCATGGTCTCACTGTGTGCACTTGCCCATGTGCGTCTCGGGCAGGGTCTCACTGTGTTTACTCACCCACATGCGTCTCAGGCAGGGTCTCACTGTGAGTGTGCTCGCCCACATGCATCTCAGGCAGGGTGTCAGTGTGTGTGCGCTCACCCATGTGCATCTCGGGCAGGGCGTCAGCGTGTGTGCGCTCACCCATGTGCATCTCGGGCAGGGCGTCAGCGTGTGTGCGCTCACCCATGTGCATCTCGGGCAGGGCGTCAGCGTGTGTGCGCTCACCCATGTGCATCTCGGGCAGGGCGTCAGCGTGTGTGCGCTCACCCATGTGCATCTCGGGCAGGGCGTCAGCGTGTGTGCGCTCACCCATGTGCATCTCGGGCAGGGCGTCAGCGTGTGTGCGCTCACCCATGTGCATCTCGGGCAGGGCGTCAGCGTGTGTGCGCTCACCCATGTGCATCTCGGGCAGGGCGTCAGCGTGTGTGCGCTCACCCATGTGCATCTCGGGCAGGGCGTCAGCGTGTGTGCGCTCACCCATGTGCATCTCGGGCAGGGCGTCAGCGTGTGTGCGCTCACCCATGTGCATCTCGGGCAGGGCGTCAGCGTGTGTGCGCTCACCCATGTGCATCTCGGGCAGGGCGTCAGCGTGTGTGCGCTCACCCATGTGCATCTCGGGCAGGGCGTCAGCGTGTGTGCGCTCACCCATGTGCATCTCGGGCAGGGCGTCAGCGTGTGTGCGCTCACCCATGTGCATCTCGGGCAGGGCGTCAGCGTGTGTGCGCTCACCCATGTGCATCTCGGGCAGGGCGTCAGCGTGTGTGCGCTCACCCATGTGCATCTCGGGCAGGGCGTCAGCGTGTGTGCGCTCACCCATGTGCATCTCGGGCAGGGCGTCAGCGTGTGTGCGCTCACCCATGTGCATCTCGGGCAGGGCGTCAGCGTGTGTGCGCTCACCCATGTGCATCTCGGGCAGGGCGTCAGCGTGTGTGCGCTCACCCATGTGCATCTCGGGCAGGGCGTCAGCGTGTGTGCGCTCACCCATGTGCATCTCGGGCAGGGCGTCAGCGTGTGTGCGCTCACCCATGTGCATCTCGGGCAGGGCGTCAGCGTGTGTGCGCTCACCCATGTGCATCTCGGGCAGGGCGTCAGCGTGTGTGCGCTCACCCATGTGCATCTCGGGCAGGGCGTCAGCGTGTGTGCGCTCACCCATGTGCATCTCGGGCAGGGCGTCAGCGTGTGTGCGCTCACCCATGTGCATCTCGGGCAGGGTGTCAGTGTGTGTGCGCTCACACATGTGCATCTCAGGCAGGGTGTCAGTGTATGCTCACACATGTACATCTCAGGCAGGGTGTCAGTGTATGCTCACACATGTACATCTCAGGCAGGGTGTCAGTGTATGCTCACACATGTACATCTCAGGCAGGGTGTCAGTGTATGCTCACACATGTACATCTCAGGCAGGGTGTCAGTGTATGCTCACACATGTACATCTCAGGCAGGGTGTCAGTGTATGCTCACACATGTACATCTCAGGCAGGGTGTCAGTGTATGCTCACACATGTACATCTCAGGCAGGGTGTCAGTGTGTGTGTGTGCTCACCCATGTGCATCTCAGGCAGGGTGTTAGTGCGTGTGTGTGCGCTCACCCATGTGCATCTCAGGCAGGGTGTCAGTGTGTGTGTGCTCACACATGTGTATCTCGGGCAGGGTGTCAGTGTATGTGCGCTCACACATGTGCATCTCGGGCAGGGTTTCACTGTGTGTACTCACACGTGTGCATCTCAGGCAGGGTGTCAGTGTGTGTACTCACCCATGTGTGTCTCGGGCAGGGTCTCACTGTGTGTGCTCATACACGTGCATTTCAGGCAGGGTCTCACTGTGCATGTGCGTGCTCCATACTGTGTCATGCACCTCGGGGCTGTGCCTGCCTGTTGCTCTCACATGGCAACTGTTGCCAGGCGACCAAGAGGGCAGTCTGGGTGCAAACATCGGGGTGAGCAGGCCACTGGGCCCACCCTGCCGCATGCCCTCCTTGCAATGGAGCAAGAAACCAGGTGGCCATGACAGGCCGGTACTCGCTGAAGTCGGTTAGGGAGCCTTGGGTCTGCACTCAGGGCATTTGGCATTTCATCTAAAATTTTACAGAAGTTCACACTAAGACCAATTTAATGAGCGCTCTGGAGCTGAAAGGTGCAGGTCTGCATTCCAGCCAGGCTCCTTGCTCGCTGTGTGGCCTCAGTCAGGCCTTGTCATCGACGGGGCCGTCTCCGCTGTAAAGCGGGAGTGACAGTGGGACAGCAGCACACACCTATCGGGCAGGACTGCGTGAAGATGGCGTAGGATGACAGACGGAGCACCTCGGGGGCACGTAGGGACCACCCACAAACCTCGCTAGTGTAACAGAACGTCCCCCGACTATAGCCGCCCTGCGGGGAAGAGGTGGGACCTGTGAGACTCGGTCAGGTCCGTCAGACCACGTTACCTAGGACTGTCCCTGTGAGGGGGCTGACTTCAGCCATCGGGGCACAGGGAGAGGCTCCATGTTGTCCCCCCCTTCCCCAGAGTGCACCAAGCAGCGGGGGTCTCACCGAGTCGGCCCACTGGCCGGGGAGCTCACTGTCCCCCGCGTAGGACATCCAGGCCTGGCTTCTGTAGGATGACGGGGGCGTCGGGATGAAGTAGCCAGTGAAGCCGGGTCTGTTGGCAGCTGGGATGGCGAACACGGCTGGCACCGTATTACCTGGCATGGAGGAGATGGACGGGGGCCGTGAGGGGAGGCTGGTTCTGGGCTCTGGCCACTCGATGCCAGACAAAGCCCCTGGCCCTGGCTACCTGTGAGGTCCGAGTCTCATTAAGTCAGGCCTTAGTGGGGAGCTGGCTCTGCAGTGGCGTGGCTGGGGACCTGGCACTGCTGAGGCAGAGTGAACCTGCCGGATGCTCGAATCCCAGGCAGTGTGGCAACAAGGAGGGGCTGGGCTGGGCCCCGAAACAGCTTCCTCCCACGAGGGGCTCACCCAGGCACTGTGCACGCTGAGCCCATGCTGCCCCCTTCAAGGACATCTGACCCAGAAGCCAGGGGGGTAAAATCCTGCCACTGCCCGACCTGGGGGAGCCAAGGAAGCCTGGGAGGACTATGTAACGGCCCAGCCAGGGGACAAGGCCTTGAGGGGGTGTCAGTGGTGTCATGGGTGAAGGGCACAGCTGCTCCCCCATAGTACCAGCCCCTCTCACCTGCCATTTGGGGAGGGTGTGACTCACACCTGATTTTCTAGAGGGTGGGGCCCCACTGAGCTCTCCTTATCCCTCCTCTGGACCCCAACACTTCCCCGTGCTGGCAAGAGGGGAAGACGCTGGGTCCCCAAGAGGACATGTGTTCTGTGTTGTTTTAGATGTTTTGTAGGACAGTGCATGCACTCACTAAAGAGAGAGCAAGAGAGAGAGAGAAATCACCCCTGGGGGATGGCCACACCACAATCCTCCCCGTTCTCCTCTTGGGATTTTGGGCTCCCCCGCACATGCCGACAGTGTGGCCGACAGGTCTGCGACTCAACCTGCAGTCAGCCCTGCGGGATTCATCAACGTAACCTCCATGCCCCCTGCGCCCAAGGACGTGTGCTTGTAAAGAGCCAAGAAAAAACCTGGAAGGAATGAACTTCGCTGGTGGAATTTCTGGGAACCATAAATGCTTTAATTCATGTTGGCAACTGAGTGCTTGCAATTTTAGCCTAAAAGGGGTGGCTTGAACTAATTAAAAACCCAATTAGGTCACATTCGAGCCTCCGAGTCCATTTCAGCATTGCTTGTGATAGCAAAAACAAAAACAAAGCAACAACAGCCACCATCGGAAAAGTCATAATGAGTTTCCCTAGCGAGCCATCCAGTAGAAATGAGCGGTAAGCCATGGGCAAGGGAGATTGCTGTAACAGACCAGAACACACGCGGTGGCCGCAGGCCACACCCACGTGTACGGTGTGACGGGGGAGACCCCGAGGACGAGGCTGAGTCAGGAAACAAAGGCCAGCAGGAAATGTACAGTGCGGTGCGACTCACGGAGGCGGGAACACCCCCGCGACACGTTCTTCTAAGCACATGGTGACACGCGGGAGGGTCTTCGACAAGTCACGGACACGCGGGTTACAAGAAAACCATGAATGCATTTCAATACTTTTTGTATCAAAATAAACTCATACTTGAATTCTGATTTTCCACGAACTTCTTGAAGTCCCCTCAGATGGAGCCAAAGATTCAAACCCACTACCTGAGGGCTGTGGTCATCTTTGGGGAGAAACGACTGTCTCTGTTGTGTTGGAATGACTGCAAGAAGCAACACCCAGGCCAGAACCTGGAGGAATGTTAGCATTCACCCTAACTTTGTGCCACCTCGTATTCGCTCTGTGCCAGATTTTTCCAAGAAGGGACCAGCAGGGTGGCATAATGGTTACGTCATTGAACCTCCCCCACGTAGCTGGCCGCAGTGCTAGTCCCAGACCCGGTGGCTTAAACTCATGCCGGGCATGTGCATGTGTGCCCAAGATCCCCAGACGAGAATGGAGGAGAAGGGATTGTGGCGTGGCCATCCCTCCTGGGGGTGATCTTTCCCTTTCTGACTCTGGCAAGCACATGTGCCCTATAGCGAAAATCTCTCTAAAACCAGCAGCTCTTCGAATTCGGCTGCCGAAGCCCTGCAGGGGCTGAGCACTCGGGGAGGGGACGCAGGGAGCCGGAGGCAGGCAGAAGGCAGGGTGCACCTGAGGTGGGGAGGCGGAGCCCACCTGAGTAGTGTAAGGCCGACTGGTCCAGCTGCGCCGCGGAGACGGGGCCTCTGGACACCTGCGTGAAGGAGGCGCTGTCGTGCAGTGGAGCGGGCTCGGGCCCCACCGACTCGGCCACCCTGGTCTTACTGCCGATGTCAGAGGTGGACCTGGTAGGGCGGAAGGCAGCGTTAGCACAGCGTCCAGACCTCAGGCAGGAGGGTGGGCTGGCACCCTCAGGAGGGGGCAGCTGCCTGAGCCCTGAGACTGTGGGGTACACAGGACTGCACTGCCTGCACGAGGGCAGGAGACACCCAGACTGACACCCAGACTGCAGCAGCCCTCTGGTGGCCCCAGCCAGAGCCCTTTCCACACGTTCCAGGTCATCCTGCCTCCAAGTGGAGCATTCGTTTTCCTCATAACCGCGAAGCAATGAGCACCGGTATTGGTGAGGAGGCCCACGAGAGGAATGACACCACTGGAAGCCAGTGAGAAGGCTCCGGCCACCTGGGTCACTCCTCAAGGCGGCCTACACTCAGCCTGGGAGCAGGAGAAGATGCTCTCAGAGCACTGGGGGCCTTAGGAGTGAGCCCTCTCTGGTCCTGGTCCATCCTGGTCCCACAGGCAAGCAGGCCCAGTTAACGCATCACCTCTGCCCTTAGCTGGCAACGCGTGGCAGAGACGTCTCCTCCAGACCCAGTGCTCTAGCCACACCCCATCCTCCCGCGCACCTCAGAGGGACCTCGGGCTGCCCAGAAACTAAAACGGGAGGAAGGCTAGGGTGCCTTGCAGTGACAGTGGGAGACAGCCCAGGGTGGGAGGGGCGGGAGGACCTGGAGGGCCTGGTCTGGGCTCTGGCTCCTCCCCTTCTCCAGAGGACAACCGTACCCTGCAGGGACACTTCTCTGGGTCGATAAGGAGGCCAGTGTCCCTCGGCCAACCTACCACAAGGGCTGGGGAGGCCTCCGATCCAGCACCTCGGGAGTTACCGAGACATCCCGTTCCCCAAGGAGGGTGACTGCAGTCCGAGAGACCTGAACCTGGGGTGGGTCTCCCTGCCCTTCCTACCTGCCGGCTCCCACACCCCTGCTTCCCATGTGCTGCTCCAGGCCCCCCACGTCCCCCCGGGAATTTCCCAGCTCTGCTCCGTGCGCTCTGATCCTCCGAGAGTCCCAGCGCTCGGGGATCACTCAGGCCATGCCCCGCGTGTGGATGAGAGAGGTGAGCCAACTCGCATGCTGTTCCCCGGCAGGGCCCAGGACGGGAGGCCTGGGGCCCATGTCTGCCGCCTCACCCCGCCTGGGCGGGCGAGGTCAGAGGCCACAGAGCGGGCGTCCTAGACCGGAAACGGGGACAGGCTCTGTTCTGGGGAGACGCGTCTTCCTCGCCACTGTTTTCAGTGCACATCTGTGACCCCAGACAGGCCGGAAGGAGCGTGCTGGTGAGGCAAGCTTCAGGGTGGCAGGACAGGGGCCACCTGTCCCCGGGCACAGCGGCTCCTCCCAGCCCTGGGCTCCAGCCCATCGCGGCCTCCCCAGGGCTCACAGCTGTGGTGCCCTGCCTGTGTCTGTCCCAGGGAATGCCCGGCCCACGCCCCGCTCCGCTCTGAGTTCCACCCTTGGCCTCCCGGGGAGCCGAGTCAGGAGCGGGGTCAGGTGCCAGCTGCTCTGACCCCCACTGTGGTAACAGAGGACTCCAGCGTGCCAACAAGACCCAGACCCGTGGCGCAGAGGCTCAGGCGGCAGGCCGTGGTCACGGGGTCTCCAGGTGAGGCTGACCAAGGACTTTCTATTTAGCACGAAAGTTGGCCACCCTCTGGGGCCCCCGGCTCCTTCATGGGGTGGGGTACAGGTGATGTGTCCTGAATGGGGGGGCAGGAAGGGAATTTGCTCGTGCTATTTCAGGATGGGGCCCACGGGACTGAACCCTCCCTAAGGGTCCCACCAAAGCAAAGAAAGGAATGCGTACCGCCTGAGAGACGTGACAGCCACCGGGCCGGTCCGGGGAGGCACAGGTGGAGGCGGGGAGCCCATGACCATTTCAGGAAGCTGAGAAAACCTGTAGGCCTGTGAGGGAGACAAGCAAACAGAGGAAGGCTTGTTAACACCCAGGGCTGAGTGAGCCTCGGAGCCCGGTGGTTAAGGGAGCCAGATCCCACGTGGCTGACTGCAGTTCAAATCCTAGCACGGCAACTTGAAAAACACACCAGCACATGTGAGTGTTTGTCCCAAATCCGCAGGATGGAGGGATGGAGAAGGGCACGGCCTCGTTTCGTTGGGGGTGCTCCCCCACCCTGTCCCCTGTGAGCACACCTACCCTCTGGCAATAAGAAACAACGAAACACCACCGTGTCCAAGGGGCATGAGGCCACCAAGGGCCAGTCCAGCAGGAACCCAGCTGAGAGCTCCCGCCTTGCCTTGCCTCTACCTCCCCGTTGCTGGGGCCACCGCAGTCATAGAGCCCTGCAAGTGTGGGCACACGCTTCCACCCGAGACAGTGTCCAGGGCCTCCCATGGCTCCTTCCTTCCTTCTCTCTCGCTCTCTCCTTTTTAGAGAGAGTTTTCATTTGTCTTTAGGGCACATGCGCTAGCCAGAGAGAGAGAGATAGACCGAGAGATAGAAAGTGAGAAATCACCCCTTGGGGGATGGCCATGCCATAATTCCTTCTCCTCCACTCTCCTCGGGATTTTAGGCACACATGCACATGCACCCAGTGTGAGTTTCAAGCCACCAGGTCCAGGACTCGAACCACAGTTGACCGAGTAGTTTAATGCCTTAACTACCACGCCACCTGCTGGTCCCAGCTCCTTCCTTCATTTCGTCCGTCAAGCCCCACACCCACCCAGCCCCATCTGCCTGTGCTGTGTGGGTGTTTTCTGGCACTAGATGGTCGCTTGTTTAATAACCACATCCACAGCTGGGCTGCACTGTGAGGACAGTAGACGGGCCTGCGGCCAGCTGAGCCCTCACGCCTGGGAGAGCCTGGTCTGTAGGAGGCCGTGGGTGACGGGTCATACATGCGTGGGTGACCGAGTCACACGTCTTCCTCTCGCACAGAAAGGAGCTTTTGTGGGGGAAGCAATGGGTTTGGGGTCAGGCCTATGTGCAGGGCTTCAGGAACAACGCTTAGTCCTTGAGTGAGTGGCCTTTCTGGACCTGTGTCCTCTTCTTGCCCAGAGGCTGCTGAGGAGGTCGGTCACTTGGCGTACGTGTACTTGTCATCTGCAAAGAACTCCTTGAAGATACGGTGGAAGCTCACGAACGGAGAACTTTAGCCAGCACGTGAGAGGGTGTAAGACAGATGGACAGGGATGGACAGGGTCAGAGCCAGCTGGGCCACAGCCTCCTTCAGCCAGAGAACCCAGAAATGCACCCTGCGTGTCAGAGCTCATCCTTTCTCCATGAGGTGTGCCCACCAGATCTTGCGGGGAACAAGACATTGATCCTGAAGCAACAGGAGGGGCAGCACGGGGGTGCAGCGACAGCCCTTCAGCTGCGGGCATGCCCTCGGGCAACGCTCAGGCACCTGCTTGTAGGTGCCCACTCGGGAGCAGCCAGGATGAGATGCAGGTCTGGATGCAGAGCGGGAGCTGCAGGACATAAGGGAGATGGGCGAGGACACCCCTGGCCCCCCGTGTCCAGGAAATGAAAGCAAAGCCAGGAGCTGCCCCAGCGGTGGGAGCCGTGAGCTGTGAGCAGACAGGGGTGAGGTTGCCAGGAGGGTGAGCGGGCGGCCATTGGGTAGGGGCTCGAGCTCAGGAAGGGGCGCATGGAGGCAGCTGGACCTGAGACGCTCATGCCAATGGGGAAGGGGCCAACACGCTCCCTTGTGTAGGAGGCTGGCAATGCTCCAGGGGTGTTGGCGGGCATGTCCCCACCCAGGCAGGGGCTCTGGGCTCACACAGACTGGGACGCAGCAATGGCACAGGCGATCTAAGGCCACAGACACCCTGGGAGGAGTCACCGTCAGCAGGGGAAACAGACAAGGGTTCAGGCCTTTCATGACTTCAGAGTTAAACGTGTCCAGGTCCGAAACAAAACAATGTTAAGAACTACTTTAAAAAGTAACTGGCCAAACTATCCAGAATGCTCGGGTAAATTCGAACAAGAAAAAAACAGGGCTCTGGGAAGTGAAACGCGATTACTCGTGATTACATGGAAACCGCCATGGGGGAAGGCGTGAATGAATCGCAGATGGAGAGAGTCCTTCCAGAAGAAAGGACACAGGGGTGACAGCTGGAGTCACTGCGGATAGGCTGACTCAGAGAGGCTGGCCACAGCGGCTGGGGGAGGACGGACCAGGACCAGGATTCCCAGCCTCATCCCCCTCCTCCCTTCCCACTGTGCCCCAGGCCCCGAGAACTAGGGGAGCCTGAGTGGACAGGCCAGCATTGGCCCATGAGGAAGGTCGCAGGAAACGGGAAAGCCTGTCACTCTCCTTGCACTCTGGGCCAGGCCGAGGTTCTCCAGGACCCCCAGCGACACTGGAGTGTCATCGGGTATCGGGTCCGGTTGCTTTACAGATTCACGGTAAAATGCGACCGGGAGCCTGACCTGCTGTGCCGAAAGCCTCGCTGTGGCAAGGACCTTGCCCGGGACAGAAGCGCCAGCCCAGCCTGGCCTCGCACATTAAACCAGCTCCCCACCGTCCCCGGCAGAGCTCAGGGGTAATCAGAGCTGTCACTCCAAGTTGCCTCCTCTCCCGTAGACTTCCATGTCACCATAGCACAGGGACGCCGTAAGAGGAGGCTACGCCGGCCCCCTCCTGTGAGTGGTTGGCTGTTCCTCCTCTGTGCGAACGGGAACCACATGTGCCGCCAGTGGAGAAGGCGACCTTGACGGCAAAGGTGTGGCCTCCGAGCCTTCTCTGGTCTGACGGGCTGCCTCTCTGCTGCATCCTCAGCCCTTCTGCATTTTAGGTGACCTCATTTTTAACGATGCTTTTGTGCTTCTCAGTATAACCATCAAACCCCAGTGACTGCAAGAGCCCTCTCGGTGTGCATGCATCCCACAGTGGACTCTTAAGATGGTTTAATTAAATTCATATGTAACAGGGCTGGGCTGTGGCACCTTCTCGCCTGTCACCAGGTAGATTTGTCCTGGTGTCTAAGCGTTTACATGTGAGGCCCGGGTCTCATCACAGATGCTCAGCATCTGGCCTCCAGTCAGAGGAGCATTTTTAAACTTTTTAAATAATTATTTATTTAATTTTATTTTTTATTATTATTAAATTTGACCAGAGTGAGACATAGAGAGAGAGAGAAGGAAACTGAGAAAGCAAACTGTCAAGTCTGGGACTTGAACCACAGTCGCACCATGTGGGAGTCCATTGTCTTCACCACCACACCACCTGCCAGCCCCCAAATACAGACTTTCACTCACACAACATGCATTGCATCAAAAGCTGCTAAAGAAGCTTTTTTATTTTTAGCCAATTTTATTCAACACATGGCCAACATCAAAAGCTTTTATGTATATTACACTTTGGCTTGTGAACCTGCTCTACCTTCCCACTGTTTTTGAATCAAAATTAAATATTACTTTTTTGTTTTAAAGCTCTTTATGTTCCTTGTCTATTAAAGAAATATATGACCTCTCACATCCTTGTGCTCCAAACACGTCCTTGGCTCCAGGACAACAATTTCATAATAGCACAACCATGGATGTACTGGTACCTGTGCTTCATTTCATACCATTCCATACTGAGGAAGCGCCTTCCTTTCTCTGCCTACACCACTCCAAATTCATTGTCTAGTCTTTACTTAAGTCACCTTAGAGTTATCCATCATGTCTTCTTAGATATTATAACTTTGAGAGTCTCTCTCTTTATTGGTATCCTACTAGACTGATAGTCCACATCTCCCCACTTAACACTGTATAAATGGTATTCTTTCTTTGTTTCCTGTTTACTGGCATCACACAGCAGCCAGTTCAATATTAGAAGCTATTCAATATGTGCTTAAATCATTCACCTATTGATACCAAAAGTGCTCAAGTTGAAGTTCAAGGTACAGGTAGAAATGGAGACTGGGTAAAACTAAAGTTCTCTTGGAAATGAAACAAGAATAGTGTCATTTTTCCAGTTATACATTGGCTGACTGCCTAATATGTAAGGAAAGAGGAGAGGGAGAATGAGAAAGCAATCTGCCAGGTTCAAGACTCGAACCATGGTCTACCATGGGGGAGTCCAGCACCTTAATCACCATGCCACCTGCCAGCCCCCAAGCCAGTTGTTCTTAAGAATTGTCTTTGAACAGAATCAACATTTTTCTGGATCTCTGAGTTGGGGCGTCCAGAGGGGCCAGCAGGTAGTACAGTAGTTGGGGTACTGGACTCCCACATGGCTGACCATGTTCAAGTCCTGAACCCAGTGGCTTGAAATTCTTGCTGGGCACATGTGCATGTGTGCCCAAAATCCCAGGAGGAGAATGGAGGAGAAGGGACTGTGGCATGGCCATCCCTCAGGGGATGGTCTCTCCCAGTCTCTGTCTCTCTCTACATCTCTAGCAAGCACATGGGCTCTATAGTAAAGATCTCTCTAAAAGGAGAGTGTAACAGCAGGAGGAGACACAGCCAGAAGTGTCGGGGACAGAGGTGTAGCCACAGACCTGAGGGAGGAATGGTCCAACAGTACCTACTGCCGTCTGCCAAGTACCTTGATCTGCAGGCGCCGGGCCCAGCACTCCAGCCGGTGTCAGCTATGGAGGACTGCATAGGACAGGACCAGACTGAGCACCTTTGGGAATTACCCTCCCATCCTCGCTGCCCCTTGTCAAAGCTCCACTTCACGCTGGGCAGTGCGCAACTCACAGCTTAGTCCTCGCCCAAGGTCCAGTGGCCAGGGAGGAAGCCTCAAGTGCTGGGCATGACCCACATATGAGATCGGGGAGGAGGAGCGAATGGGGTTGAGGTGGGTGGGGTCAGCACGGAAGAGCAGCCACGATCTCCCAGAGCACAGATGCTGACTGGTGGGAGAGAGGCCGGCCGACGGCACGGCGGAGAGGCCCTGCGAGGTGGCCCTGTGCGGGAGGCTGGGGCCTGGCAGTCGCTCATGAAGCTCAAGTCCCCGGTGCTCAGGACACAAGCCCCAGTGCCCCCAGCAGTCTGCCATGAACACAGTCAATGGCGCGGCTGGCGGGGAGGTAATGCCCAGGGAGACACGGCAGTCCTGGCCAGCAGAGCAGACTAACCCACACAATAAGGTGTCAGGCCCACGTCCGAGATCTCCCTGGGCATGCAGGGCACGTGTGTGCCCAAGATCTGGCACTGGCTGAAGTCACGGGGGCACTGCGATGTCTGATCCTCCTGGAGTGCCATCTCTCTCTGTCTCTTGCTCACAGAAGAAATAAACACACACACTAAACACAGAGAGAGCATGGTCTGGCCCCAGTGCCTGGCCCTGGACCCTGCCTTGGAGGAGTCCGACCCGGTAGGGCCCCAGGATCTGTTTTGAGCTTTTGACCTTTAAGTACCACTTAGGTCGGGTCATCACACTGGCAAGGCCGCTGCTGTGTGCCCCCCTGACCTAGGAATAAAACTTAGGTCGAATTAGCATGTTGGCAAGGCTGCTTGCTATTTGCTCCGGAAACTGTGGTAGCCTTGCTGGAAGCGACTCCCCCTCTGACTTCCTAATATACTACTATAAAAAAAATTACATAGCTCTCTTATACATCCTGAGTATATGATAGAATTTTCCAAAAAGTCCCCCCCCGACCGCTCCCCTTTGCTCTGGCCACCTACTGTTAATTACAATGCTTCACTCCAGCACAGTCACAATAGAGGGTGTGCTGAAGTCACATCTAGGCAGAAATCTTCTTGACCTTTAGAAGGCCCTTCAAGATACATAAGCTTAAGAATAATTTTTTAGGCCAAAATGGGCCCAGGGCACTCCCACCCCACTATAGCTAACAAAATAAATAATAGTGGCATCACAGGCATAATAGAATGTTTTAAATATGCCACAAACTCACCTTAAAGTTCTTCATTAACTTGTTAGTCACTTTACCGCCAGTTGAAAAAGCTGTCCCTGCCCTTACTTAGTGAACAGTAGTTTTACCCCTTTAAGATATATTAGGATTCCTTAAATTAAGTTTTAAATCCCTATAAAATTATATAAGCTCCATTCTTTATTGAGACCCATAAGAACTAATATCTATAATTGAGATTTTCTTTTCTCGGCATCATGCCCGATAATCACAAGATGGCTGCCGCACCACATCAGCTGATAATTATCTCTGTTTGCTGGAGCTGCTTTCCCAAAACTGCATTCCATGAAGACTCCTACATCAAACAAACAATTGAAGAATTGCACTAGACCCACACTTAATCCAACCCTGAATGGAACCCATGCTCCCTATTGTTAAAACTTCATGAACTGATAATTAGAACACGTAGCCCCTCGCCCATTTATTTGCATGTATCACATTTTCAATAAAAAGGCACGGTGATTCCTAACGGTTGTCACTCCTCAGAGAGCAATCTCTGGGGGTGTCCGACTGAGGAGGTGCATAAAAACGGCACGGAGACCTTAGTCATCCTTTCTTGTGCCGCCTCCAACGAGCCAATCCACCCCCACCGAGGCTGGACCCCGGCCCTGCCTGCTCCACCCTGGCTGTGTATGACTTGCACACGCAGCACAGACTCGGTTCCTCGTCGGCAGCACGGGGATGAAGCCAGTGCCCATCTGAGGCTGGCCTGGAGGACTTGGTGAGTCAGCGTACAGGTCGTGCACAGGCCAGCCAGGCGCCGGGGAACCACAGTAAGCGGTCACCTTTATTACGTCCTGTGCATCCCAGGAACGGCACGTGAAGGTGCTTCGGGGTGAGCCTGGGAAGAGCTCGGACTACTCGAAGGCTGGCATCTATGCGTGCGGTGTCGCCAACGGTCTGTGGCTATAAAACCACACCTGCCTATTGAAAGCACAGAAGGAGGTGCGGACGCCATGGTGATGACCGAAATGCAAACCGACTGAATTGTTTACATGGCGAGGCCGGCTTGGTGCAGGGCGGCAGTGCCACTATCTTCAGTGCTGGAAGCCACGTGGGTGATGGGGGTCAGTCCCAGGCTGCCCCGGACACACTGGGCTTGTCCCAACCCTGGTCAGCTGGGAAGGCTGGGGTCAGACCAGAGGGACACTGAAGCCCTTCGCGGGTGCCTGTCTGCCTGTCTCTTCTCCCCTGTCACTCTCTCATGAAAGAAGAAAATAAACAAACTTCTAGGGGAAAAGAGCATGAAAGCTTTGTCACTGGGTGTCTTCTCAAATGGGGACGTGCAATTACTTTTACATGAAGCAGCCGTGACTAACATCCCACAGCAATGACTACGCGGCAGGCCTACCGGGCCCTGCAGATACCGGCTCATTTCACCTTCAAACTCTCGGGAGGAGAGTAGTTTTCTTCTTTGTCCATTTCCACTTTAGAGAAATTAGGTACCTTCCCCAGGTTTCAAATGGAGCCAGGAAGGGGTGGAGCTGGGATTCACAGCCCACCCACCTGGCAAAGGCCTGTGGTCTAACCACCAGCCTATACAGCCCCTTTGCATGCAGCTCTGCAACACATCTGACACCCACGCCTGCAAGTACAGGAAAACCTCAGGGCACAGAGACTGAGGCTGGCCCTGTGCAGAGACAGTAGAGAAGGAGACCTGAACTCTTTACACAGCGGAGGCGGCCATGCTCACCCACATCCGGCTTTCGCATGCCTCGCCATGGGGGAAAGGCTGAGGCTGCAGCCAGGTGGGGTGGGCCGAGAATCTGGGAAAACTCGTCTCCAAACCCTAAAGGGGCTGAGCGCTGAAGCCCCTGCTCAGAGCCAGGCTGTGGGCAGCCCTCCACAGTGGTGGGACGTTGGACTTACCGGCCGGGGCAGGCTGTACTGGTACACTTCAGGGCGGTAGGTCGGCACCCACTGCACCCCGGCCCTGGGCCGCGTCATGGTCCCCGGGGCGCTGGTCACCACCTCCGGGCAGGGCAGGTGCTGGGTGGAGCCGTAGGCATCCTGGTGCCGGGCCTGACCTGCGTGGCCGGCGGACGCCAGGCTGAAGGCCTCCTCCAGCAGCAGGTGCATCTGCTGCCGGACCTCGTCGATGGACGGCTGGGAGCTCAGCGTGGAGGTCTCCGAGTGCCCTTTCACCGGCCGCGACCTGGCGTGGCCCCGGGGCTCCTGGGCTCTGTCCACGTTGGTTTCCTCTATGATCTCCGGCTCAGTCTGCGGGACCAAACACAGCCAGGGACGTGTGTTAGCATCTTCCCGCAGGGTGTGCCAGAACCCCGACTCTGCTTGGCCCGTGCTCACCGCATGTGTGCATGCTCATGCCCTGGGCATGGGCCTTGACCAGGACCTCACGCCATGGGGCAGGCGGCGGGCACCGCGCCGACAAGGCCCCCAGCCTTTGTGGGCCCAGGTCCACATGCACCAGGCTCGGCCAGTTCACACAGTGACAGTGAGACGTGGCTGTTGTCGATGACCTCAGTATACCCTCCCGAATCCCTGAGGCGTTCCCTGCTCTCCTGCCCTCGGACATGAGTCCGAGTGTCTGGTAATCCCCTCTGGGAGGCCGGCACGCTATGCTCCGGACCCACTCTCCCAGGCCAGTGTCCAGCCATTGGTTGGGACCTGCTGGTTGCCCGATGCCCCTGTGGGAGAGCAGAAAGCCCTGCTTCGGGGCGGCAGACACAGCGGGGGCTCGGGTGGCGTCCAGCAGCCCGGGCTTCAGTGAGCCCCAAGGTTCCGACTCCTGCTCAGGGCTAGGCCCACGGACTCAGCACTTCCTCCTGCCCCACCCCGTCAGGGAGCTCTGCAGTGCCCGAGTGGGTGGAGGGCGTCCAGGGCAGCTGCACACGCCCTGGGCTCACTGCTCACGTCGGCTGGCTCAGCAAGCGTCTGCTTCTGCTCCGAGGTTCCTCTGCCACTGTTGGGGGACCCCGCGGGAACTTGGTCCACACTTCACAGTGCGAGGACCCAGGCAGTGAGAAGGAGGAGAGCACTGGGCAACACAAGCCTTGTGTGCGCGGACGCCATGGCGGTGCGCGGAGGACAAAGGAGCTGCGGGGAGGCGGGCTCTGACAGTGCTCCGACAGAGGAGGACCTCAGCCTCCCGCCTTCTGGGAGGGCTCCCCCAGAGGCGTCTGTAAGGACTGAAAGCAGTGCGTCCAAGATCCAGAACAGCAGCTCGTGGGGAGGACACGTCACGTGGTCACCATAGCTGCACGACCACCGCTGCTGTTCCTTTCACACTCACAACCCCGCGTTCTCACTGGCACAGTGCACACCTGCGCAGAGGCACACCTGCGCACAGAGCACGCGGTGTACAGACCAGCACACCCGTAGCACTCAGGCCCCTCCCTAGGTGCTGCAGATGGAGGTCAGAAATGTGTTGTATTTAATACCTGAAAAATGTACCCACTTTCTTTAAACGCCAGTGTGTGCACGTGTGTGTATGAACACGTGTGAGAGAAAAGGAAAGTAAGTACTTCTGGGGTAGGGGCCGGTCCCACTGCGGGCCTTTACTTCCACTTCTCTGTTCTGTCAGATGGGCACACACACACACACACACACACACACAAATATACACACACAGACACACACACACACAAATATACACACAGATACATACACACAGACACACGTACATACGCGCACACACACACAAATACACACAGACACACATACACATGCACACACACAAAAATAGACACACACAGACACATACACACATACACACGTACATACGTGCACACACACAAATACACACAGACACACATACACATACACACTCACAAAAATAGACACACACAGACACATAGACACATACACGCACACATACACAAATACACACAGACACATATACACATACACACACAAAAATAGACACACACAGACACATACACACATACACACGCGCACACACACCACACACAAAAATATACACAGACACATATACACATACACACATACAAAAATATACACACAGACACACAAATATACACACAGACACATACACACATACATACAAAAATATATACACAGAGACACACACATGCATACAAAAATATACACACAGAGACACATACACACATGCATACAAAAATATACACAGAGAGACACACGTACCTATGTGCACGCACAAACACACACGTAAACACATACACACATATGCAGCACACACACATCTGGTATGTGTTTCAAGCTGCCAGGCTGGGACTTGAACTGCGGTGGCCACGTGGGGTCCAGCTGCCTGCAGAGCACGTAAGTGCTGTGCATAGGCTGGCCTACACGGACCTCCCTCCACATCACGTGAATACGCAGCCATTAGCTTAGAACGCACCGTGGAGAGAAGGAGCAAAGTGGAAACAAGACTTCCGGGCCTCTCACCACCCACTTAGGGCTTGGCTGCTGTCAGACTAAGAGCAGGTTCTCTGTCCATCTCCGAGTCGAGAGTCAGCGAACCCGCCTGAGTCAAGTACTCACTGTGTACATCGACACAGCAGGAGGGGGCCATGGAGCAGGACATGGGTACCTGGGGATGCGAACACCATCTCCAGGACCTTTCGTGCCTGGTGCCCATCCCAGCAGGCACTGGGACACATGTGCTCTTTGGGGAGGCGTGCTCCCTGAGGCCCAGCCAGCCTGCCTGCGGGGGTTTTGCCTGCTGACACCTTCTGGGACAGGGACGTCCAGGGCACACGCTATTCCGGACTGAGCGCCACAGCCTGAGGGGCCTCAGGAGCCGTCTAACTCGAGCTCTGTTTTACACGTGAGAAATAGAGACCAGGGTGGTTAAGTGATGTGTCTGAAGCCCCATCTCCCGTCCTGGGCACGGCCTCTGCACCTTCGCCCCTCCTCAGACGTGGGTTGCTCCTTTAAGGTCTGTTTTGCCCACGATGGGACAACAGCCCAACGGCTCTGTTCACGAGTCTAGCCTGAGGCTCTTGGTGCTCAGTGCCCCTCCGTGAGTCTGAGCGGAAATAAAACCCGGCCTGTTCCCATGAGTGGAACTGGAGTTGAAACAAAGGCTCACCATCCCAAGCACACTTCCTTTAAGAACGAGTGGCAGGGGGTCGGCAGGTGGCATGGTGGTTAGGGTGCTGGACTTCCACATGGCCAACCATGGTTCGAATCCTAGACCCAGCAGCTTTCTTTCCCGGGACCAGCAGATGGCTAAGGGCTACATCGCTGAACTCCCATGTAGTCGACCGCGGTTTGAGTCCCAGAACTGGTGGCTTAAAACTCACGCCGGGTGCGTGTGCGTGTGTGCCCAAGATCCCAGGAGGAGAATGGAGGAGAAGGGATTGTGGCGTGGCCATCCCCCCTGGGGGGTGATTTCTCACTTGTCTCTCTGTCTTTCTGGCAAGCACACGCACCCTATAGCAAAAACTTCTCAAAAAAAAAAAAAAAGAGTGGCAGGGCACGAACAAGCGACCTGACTCCCGGGGCCCCAGGCTCCACTCTGAGAATCGGGACTGGATTGGTGGCCCCACGGCCACCACGTGCTCTAGCAGCTGTCCCACCCCCTTACACCACCCTTGGGGGCCTCTGGGTCTACTCAGGAATGGAACCACCGCACTCCCCACTCTCAGAGCACATGAGCAGTAGTGAGCCTGGCCTTTTTTATTTTTTCCTTCCATGAAAGAGAGAGACACACTGCTGACAGGGTCTGGCCCGTGGTCTGCAGGCCCTGTGGTCCAGCCCCAGCCCCAGCAGCCCGGGCGTGGGCGGGTGCAGCGGTGCTCACAGGCTCTGAGGCGTGAGCTGCACCTCCCTGTGGGGTCTGCCTGCCTGCTGCTGAACTGCCATCTGACTCCAAACTTGTCCTTTGACTTACGCGCGTTTCGAACCCCATTCTAGGTCCTGGGTGGCGATGTGTACAGCGAAGAGTCAAACAGCACCCCGGCCCTGGGAGCTGCTGGCCACGGGGAGCCGGGACGCAGCCCACACGCGTGGCACTGGGGCAGGGGCCCTCTACTCCAGTCTCTCGAGTCGCGAGCCTGCAGTGGCACACCAGCTGCAAGTCTCCAGGACACACAAGTGTGTGCAACCACGTGGCCTCGCCCTGGCCCTTCACGCCTGGAGCACAGGGTTTGAAGCCTCTCTCTGAACGCCGCCAGCGCCCTCCTTTCCAGCCCAGCCCAGAGGGGAACAGATTGGGAAACCACGGCAGGGCCACAGACCTAATGGGGGACTCGGCGACGTACCATCTGGCCATGACGAAATCGACCCAGTTCCAGCTCCGTTTTTCTTTCCACCACGCAGGGCCCTTGGGCCACATGAGACAGTGCCGACTCTCCGTCTAGCGCTGCTCTGGCTCCCTCGTCCTGCCACGGGGGCCGCCTGTTGGCGAGCATGCAGAGGCATGTTTATTCAGCTTTTTTTGATGTGTGTGCATTTTTTTCTTTTTTTAGAGAGATTTTTGCTATAGGGCACATGTGCTCATCAGAGAGACAGAAAATGAGAAATCACTCCCGGGGGGGGGGGGGGGGGCGTGCTGCATA